GAGAGAGAGAGAGAAAATGGAAGGAGAGATAAAAATTACAATAAAAGTGATTTATAACGTGGCTCGACGTCATAAATACTATTTTACCATTACTATTTTACAATTCAAAGCTATGAAATGTTAATAACATACGGTAGAATGTCGTTAATGAGATTCGAAAAGAGAAAAGAAGAAAAAAAAAAAAAAGAAAAAGATCTCCTCGAGATTCGATTTGAATTATGTTGTAAGGGATTAAGGTGAATTTAAAACGTGACCGACTTACCAGTCTTGCCGTCGCCATTCGGGATCTTCTTGGGGCTACTGGAAAGTTTGTCTTTGGCAGTTGGTACGTTATTGCTATTATCCTGGACGTTCTCTTTGTAATGGTGACCGGCTACGTTGTCCAGCTCTTCGTTAATACCGCAGGAAAAGACGAAAGACGAAAGGGAGTGGAAGTGGGCCAGAAGAACTATCGCGTGAACGACCTCGGCCAAGGACCAACTGTCCGCGCCTTTGGTCAGTTTCTGCAAAATCAAGATCGATCCATTACCTTTTTTCGTGACATTTAACCAATGACAAATTAACGGCATGTAGATAATTATAAATCAAATTGTATATAAAAATATACAATCGGTTGTGTGTGTTATTAATTTTGGTTGAAAAAGACTTTTAACGATTGCAAAAACACACATAAATTATTATAATTCAAATTAGGCAATGAATACAAATAAGCGTGTGTAATTCATCATTAATTTTGATACAAAAAAAAAAAAAAGAATACGCTCTTAATAATTGCAAAAGTAAAAGAGCACGAGTTAGTTAAATGTCAAAAGTTTATTATTTTTTTAAGAAATTTTAAAACTTACCTCTATGTGCGTTTTGTTCAGCAACCACGGCCTATGAGCTAAAATCTTGTTAATCTCATAGAGATCTTGTAGCTTTCCCGGGATCGACTTCAAACCACGAAGCCAAGATGGATCACCGCCTTGGAGGATGAACTCTCCTTTCTGCAGGTTTATTAAATAGCTGCATTGATGTCTACCAGCAGCCTGCAAACAAAATGCATCGTGTTATTTGCTATATGCGTTTTCAATCTTTCCATTGAATGAAAATTATGAAGGGAATTCAAAAAGTTTCAAATTCGCATAATTATCTAATAAATTAATTTAAATCTGAACAGTTGTGAATTGTAATTGTATAATCTATTATCCAAGATTGTTGATAATTCTTATATGAAATAAAGATTAGAATTCTTCTTTATCTCTCAAACACGATAATGCGATAGATGTTACAAGTGCATTCTGTAAAATTTCATACGTTCAAATTTTGCAATAAATCTTCCAAAAGTTATCGTCTAAATACACAATCGATATTCGCATCGCACGTGAAAGAGATATGACCGATAACATTCTCGATTTCGCATTTCGATTAAAATCACGCGTTCTCCAAAGAAGAAACTCATCAGCACGGCTGAAAAGAATGCTCGAAGGCAAAAGTCTCGAGCAAACACCGTGTAGTATACCGCGTGCCTAACTTCAGAGGAAGTCCCGAAGAAAGAATGAGTCCTCGAGCGTGGAGACAGAAGAATCAATGGAAAAAAAAAAAAAGAAAAGAAATAGAAAAGAAAGAAAAGGAACAGAAAAAAAACTAGAAAGAGGTGGTGGAGGAATGTTGGGGAAGAGACAAATTGTCGACGACGTGACGTATCGAGGCGCGAAATTGGGCAAGAGCGTATCGATCGCGTATGTTTCTCACTTTATATTGCTTTCCTACACGAAGAAAGGAGGAAGAAAGAAGTACGGTCGAGCGACTAGATTCGTCGATTCTTCGTGTTCAAAGCCGACTCGACGCGTGAAAGTTTAGAAGAAACGAACTTTGCGAAAATTAAATCGCCTTTACAGGCGAGATGAGAGTTCGGGTTCGTCGATCTTTGAGAGTGTGGATTCATTGTGTGGAAGTTTGGAAAAAGAATAGAGAAAGAATGAATATTGCGAGAATTAGAAGTTTCGTGTAAATTCAATTTAACAATATCCAACTATCGAATTTCTCCCACGTTCGAAGAAATACTCTTCAATATTTTATTCTCGAATAAATTCTCATCTTTACAAAGTTCGTCAATCCGATCGAAAGTTCAACATCTAAAATTAAAAGAAAAAAAAAAAAGAATAGAATTTCTAGAAAATTAAATAAACGAAAATAAGACGAGATTCGTCCATCTCCGCTCTAAATTCAATTCATGGATCCAATGGTTTTAGAAAAACAAACTTTGCAAAAATGAAATAAATCACGATTAGAGATGGTGGCTGGACGAGGAGTGGTTGGAAAAAGAAAGAAGGAGGAGGAGGAGGCTGTTACGAGGGAAATAACGGAGTGGCGATGCGGCACGATCGGATTCTTCTTATTGGTTTGTTTTGATCGCGGTGGAATTACATCAGAAATTCAAATGACTCGCGGGAGAGGTATTGCGGAGACGTGGAAGAATAGGTGGACGAACGTCGAGGGGGGAGGCAAGCGAAAGGCGAGATGATGAAGCGCGTAAACAAGACACGTGTTTACCATGCGGGGCCGCGGATCGATCGACTCGAGAGCCGCGATAAGCGATAAGAGAAGTCTGCAAATATCCGTCTCTCTCCGTTTCCAATCGCTATGAAATTTTGCACACCTATGGAAAAAAGAAGAAAAAGAAGAAGAAAAAGAAATATCGAACACGAACGAACATCGAATAATAATCGTGCGAGATTAATTTAAATTTTCGTGGGAAGTTGTTTTTTTTTTTGAACAGACTTGTCCTTTACCTGGGAAGAAATGAGACGAAATTATTTTTATATATATATAATTTTATTTTGACATTATAATCCTCCCCCTCCTCCCGTTCGTTTTTATGCACGTTTTTTTAAAGATTGATTTAAAGATTTTTTTTTTTTTTAATCTCTCATTATGCATACGATGAATTTTAGAGGAATGGTGTGTAATATGTAAATTTCGTGTAATGCGATAATTTTTGTCAAAATACGCGAGAGTTCTAGAATGAGAATGAGATATAGGCCACGTGTAGGCTCTCGTTAAAAATTGGAATAAACGTCAAACGTGTGCAATTCCTATTTGTTTTGCTCGATACAACTTAAGAAGATGTTGATAAGTCGATAATCATTTTATTAATTTTCTGTTTTTCAAGTAATCTAGTAATCAAAAAGATAGATATATTTGAATCCATCAAAGTTAAAAAGGTTAAAATAAAAAAAATCTCAAATTAAATGATCAAGAATTATATTCATATGTAGGATATTATATTTTTGAAAAATCGATTCAAATAAAAATAAAAATTTCTATGCAAATCTACTTACTTTATCAATTGAGATTTATTTATTAAATTATATATTATTTATTTATAAATAATTTAACTTATATCTTAGAAGAAGAGAAATATAACGTGATAGATCTTGTCTCATTTAATCTAGTCTAACAAAATTAAATTCTTTTTCTCGATATAAAATTTAAATAAAATTATTCCATTAATTCTATTACATGTTTCTTGTTTACAAATTCCACCAGCTCGAAGAAAAAAATCAATTATTGCTCATATATCGATTTAATTATAAAAGATAGACTTTGATCTCCACATTTCACTCTTCTCGTTCGATGATTTCGCTCTATCTTCGAATCGAGTAAAATTCGCGAATCTCGGGCCAGATTGAATGTGTTTACCGGTAGAAAAGCTGTTTTTCAGATAGCTTATCGCTTTATCATTCTTCGTGTACCAAGTGCAATCACTTTTCTCCCCTTCCATTTCTTCGAGTTCCTCTCGACAATCTCTTTTTCCTCATCAGACGTCGACTTTTTATCACGGCTGATAACTCGTTTTCGAACCGATCATTTTCAAAGTAAATGACACGTATTCTATGTACACATATTGTACTCTCATTTGACATGTCAAATGAACCGTGCCACGTAAACGTGACGCCCAATTTATTAAACGAACAACGATAATTGTCAAAATCTTAGAAATTAAGGAATTCAAAACTACGTGGAATCTGTATTAAGAGGAAGTGCTTGCGTGGAAGTACCGTCATCCATTCTTATTATAATATTTAAACTGTAATTCATCATTATTCTATTTACTTGATCGTAAATTATTCGATTCTCAATGTAACGAAAAATAAGTTAAACGATATTATTATTGAATCCACGGTAAACATTCAGAAGCGAACGTAAATATGAAAAGAGCGTATAATTATTTTATTATTATCACATATTTAGATGCGTCGATTTACGATTCGAGTTTAAAGCGGTCTGGACGAGTCTGCACATGTCAATCGGATTACTCGTGTTATTAGTTTATTTACATATAAATCGATCGATTAAGTATAATTTCTGTTAATTGGAGATCAGGAAACTCGTTACCACTTCCGACCAATATCTCTCGAAACGAGAAATAACAACTTCGATCCGATATCCTGTTTACTTTACGCTTAATCAACCCATCTCGATTTCGATTTGTTGAATGATCGAATCGTCCAACTTTGTAGACCAATCGTAAATTCGTGTCGACGTGATAATTTCACGTAAAATCATTATTGACGATGGTTCGAGCATAACGTCCGACTATAACGTTACGAAACCCGTTGCACTTGTTCGGTTTCTTCCGATAATCTTTGGCCCAATGACCCAAGGGACGAACGAGGAAGAGGTGCACGTTGATTGGGTCCACGATAATCGCATTCCGGGTTTGTTTGTCGCGAGCAAAAATAACGTTCTTAACGCGTGACATTATTATTTATTATTATTATTATTATTATTATAATTACGTATTATTATCGCCATTTATTTGACAAGCACGTCCAAGGCCCATCATAATATATACGCTTTTCATTCGTTCAACATTGTGATGCACATATTTAAATTGATTTATTTACATTTCACTTTATACGTATCGTAATCGATAATAATAGAACGAAAAAACATGATGTGGTTAATTGACGTTGATGTTGTACAAACAAATAATTATACGTATATGCGCGCTGATGTACAGCCGATCACGAAAGTGTTCGTTTATTATCTTGCAAGGAAATTTGTTAACTTTGAAATTATTCTGATATTAATATAAATATTTTAATTAATATAACAATTTTCTTTTTAAATCTTTTGAAATCCAATTTTTCAATTTTCATTACTTTTTTAATACGTTTGGGAACGTTTATTTTTTTTTTTTTTACAACGAGCTAAATCTCTTTGATTTGTAAGTAAAATTGTTTTGGTGAACAACTCGTTTTTTTTTTAAATAAAATTTACAAATATTTAAAATTTTTTTGATTTGCCTCTGCCTTAAATCCGTTTGTATTTGTTTGAAAAATAATTCGAGACATTTAATAATACAACTCGTTACTCGAATTCTTATAAAATGCGCACGACCACTTTTATGACTGACTGTATTTACATGTAATGAAAAGTATTCGATATTTATCTTCGAGTATTTATCATTTTTCCAACAATTTTACCATAAATTCAAGGATGTTATAACGGATTTCTAAACTATATTTCACAACGAGAAGGTTATTATATCACGTGTCCACGATTAGAAATAATCAGAATTGAGAATTCATCTTCCCAGCTTAGAGATTCCATTAGCATTACATTCGCGATAATATTTTATGTAACAATTCCAACTTTTTTTTGTTCCAAGACGTAATCCGTTTAAACAATCTTCCCCTCGCGCTCGAAACGTTTCTCGTTCGCGTGTTCGCGTCGCTTTATCCAATCATTCCCTTAAATTAACAAGTATCAGTCACACCCTTTCTTTCTTTTGCTTTGGGAAAGGGGAAAAAAAAACGGGATAAAAGTCGGTAAGAAATGCTTCTCCACCGTCTCTCCAGATGGCATTATCGTATCGCCAGATTAGAAGGAAAAAAAAAAAGAACCATTGTCACCATTACGGCGAATTAGGTGAAGAAGAAGAAGAAGAAGAAGAGAAAAAGCAGCGTTGTACTCACCATAATGGCGATGAGATGCCTGTAGTCGTAAGGAAGTGGTCCGTCACCCCTCAGGATGAAATGTTGGGTGCGGAGAAAATGCTCCAAGTACGAGGGATGCGAGGCCATCACCCTGGAGACATGATCCAGCCTGTTGTTCTGGAGGAACGCATCCATCAACAGGATATGAGTCTGTAATCAAAGAATGGGATGATTGATCAGTTTGATTGATTAAAAATCGAAGGGAATCGAAGTATGAAATGATTGGACAATTTGAAGGCAGCACGATCAGATCGCTGAATTTCGATATTCGATATTCGAGTATGAAAGATGGATCGAGTCCAAAGAGAAAATTGTTGCGAGTGTTCCAATTTATAATTGCAATATAATTCGTTTGTTCGTTATTAATTATGCTAATCGTTTAGAAACAAGGGATATGTTTTAATATGATTTTGAAACGTTTTGTCATGATAATTGTTTCGAGCAACATCATTTTTTTTTTCCCCCTTGTATTTTTATTCTTCGAATATATGCAAAAATATTCTCGATACGATATATACACTTGTGTCCATTTGATGTAAATACTGGCAGTGTTGCATCTATTGTATACATAAATAATGCATATTTCGCTTTTAGATATTGGGAAATTTCTATTTACGATTAAACATTGTTGAATGGCTAACCTTGAATTCGGATGCAAAATCAGAAAATAAGACAATGCAGCTATTAAATAGTGGCTCGTGTTCGTTTCGTCATAGTATATAGAGAGTATCGTTTGTATATTTTTTGCGTATACATAAATAAACAAGTAGATTATCGTACACGATTTGAAAATCTGATTTTCTCGAGAGAAGACTTCTTGACTTCCGCTTATTTTTATTCCAAATATTCTATTTTCGTTTACACACATCACAGGCATCCTTACATACATGTCTTATTGACACGTTTTTTCATCTTGTGAATGTTGACGTAAACTATGCTCGCATAATCGCATTAATGACATAATCGCGTTTGGAATGGACAAAAATTAGGTTACTTCGAGCTTCGAAATCAAGCTTGCATCACCCTTACACGTCTTTCTGATTATCATCTGAATAATCATTTTCACAAAAAAAAAACACAATACAACTACAATAGTTAAAAAACCATAAAACAGATAGAACAGAATCAATGTTTCTCGAAAACGCGGATACAGATATTCTAAACTCAAATCTTACGATGTCGAATCGTTCAATTGATTGAAGAAGATGATTCAATCCTTCTTAATCAGAAACTTAGATCCTCGGAAAAGTTTATTTCTTATGCGTTAAACAGCAACGGGATTCAGCTTCGGGAAAATTTTTTTTCAAAGAAGACTCTCAGTCTAATCTTGGGCAAAGGGAGAAAAGGACGGGCATGAAATAAAAGCCTCGAGGACGAAGCATGTCGTCATGTGGCGATCTCCTCGGCGATTCTATTCGCCACACGGAGAGAGGTACATCGAAGCCCCGTATCGATTGTTTTTCACCACGAGGCAGAAGCTGTCGGCATTCAGGCACGATCGGCGGCCGTACGAGCACGATATATTAATGCGAACAGTTGCCGACAGTTGTCGAGGGTCGACGACCCGCGTGTTCAAATTAAAACGGGAAAAGACATTTCACTCGCGAGCTTTCGTCACGCGAGGAATATCAATTTTGACCCCGGTGGTATCGTTGTATCGTCGTCCACTCGGTAGAATTCTAGCAGGGAAGATTATCCAATCGCATCGTGCACGATCGAAAATATCAAAAGGACGAACGAAACCTTATAATAGAGCGCAAGTGTTAAATCTTGTCAGTGGAAAAGTTTCCCGACACGTGCCAATAGGTAGATTTAATTGTAGAATCAATCTATAATAATGTGTATATTATGCACTTATCGTTGCGTCATGCGCACTATAAAAGTATATCAATCTATAATATGCAAACGTATATTCGTAATGTATATATAACAACGTTTGTCGTTGCATCACAATCTACATTGTAGATTGCACATTATAGATTATTGGTTCTACAGTTATATGAAATGATGTAAGAATCATGTACAATATATAAATATGGAATCTTGTATAAATGATTATTATTTTTTTTTATCACGTATATCATTAAATTATATATTTCCTTTCTAAAGAGATTATTAGTTGCTTCTCGTCGATCGCTTCCGCAAAATCCTTTGATTCCTATAATCAATGATCGGCAATTGTATTCGAATCGGGTTATATTTATACATTGTTCGGGTTAAAAATACCATCTTTTGCTGGAAAAAAAACAAAAAAGCACTTACAGGAAAAAAAAGAGAAACTTTCTCCAACTTTGTCTCGAGTAACTTTAACTCACCTGGAAATATACTCTCCCCTATTTTTTTATAATGTGAAATATGTTCCAGATAAAAATCATGAATGGTTTGGAAAGGGGAGTTTTACGGTTTATGGAAAACGTGACCTGTTATGAAATACCGAAAAAGTGTTTCGTTCCAATGTTACAGAATTAATATTGATCCCCGATAAAGATCTCGACGGAAGTTGAGGACTTCTGCTGCCGTGTTACGAAATGCCGCTACCGTTCGAATCGTGTTGGAGAACGTAAACCAGGGACACGGGAGTAAAGAGAAACGTCCAAACAGTTGAGGACTCTGCTTATGAGAATATTTGTCTAGGTAGTAGTTTTACTCGTCGTTGGAAATAACAGCTTGGAGCTATCAATTTAGTGGTTACGTTTCATTGGAATTAGCTGTTGCGTAGACAATTAAATACCCATTTAAGATTTCTATATCTCATTTCGATTGAATATTACGTACAATTATTCCGTTTGATCTTGCGATTTTCTGACATCATAATCGAAAAGATTTAAAGCGTGAAAATCTCTATTTTTAATTCCATTTCTGTAATAATAATGTTCGTAAAAATTTAATTACAAGCAATATAAGGATTTAGAGAAAAGAAAAGGAACTTTTGATAAGTGTATCGGTCGAACGTTTCTGGAAATACTTATATAAAAATAATAAAGTAAAAGAAACGATAAGAGGAAAGCACCTGGCGAACTTAATCATCGAAATTGAATGGGTTTTAAACGTTTTGCTACGGCACAAACGACATAAATAAATCGCTTATCGATATTTATTACCGCGATTTCCAAGTGACTCATGAATAGAAGAATTCCATCCTTCCATGAGGTCCTGACAACGCTGACAAATACAAGAACGTAACACCGCTTTTTGATCAATAGGCATATTTCCACGATATCGAATGGAATCGAACGAACGACATAAACAACTTATTCTCGTAAAAATATCAGAAATGATCGATGATAAAAGAGGAGGGGAGATACTTACAGATAAGTAAGTGCTTGTTTTCGATACGTTTCGTCGAAATTGTTTCACGATTCAACGAATCGTAGACAAACAAACTGAGATCTTTATTAATCATTCCAGAACTCTGGAATCTCTAATCCCTATAATTCAGAAAAAAAAAATTAATTTACATAATTTCAGGGAATCTCTTCCAAACTTCTCCGATTCTTCTAAACTCCGACTTCCAAAAATGGACGAACACTGGAGGCTTTCTTTATTCGAAAATAAAACAACACTCTCTAAATAAATCCTCTTTCGCCCTTTTACCAGACTTACAAATACCAAAGCCTCTCCCAACCCCCCTCCCCTCGTCAACGAGAGAAATATGTTGCGAGGCAAGAATGGAATCGAAGGTGGATCGTCGAATTAAAATTAGTCGTCCGCGTCATCGATACGGCAAAACTATTACTCAATTAACCCGTACACCCGAGATTTGGCAAGGATCGTCCCATCGAAGCCCTCGAGAGCTGCAGCAGAGGAGGGAGAAGGGAGGCAGCCCTGCCGCTCTCTTCCGAGAACTCTTTTTTTCTTTTCTGGCACACGGCCCCCTGGCACACGGCCCACGCACAGAGCTCCCTGAGAGACTTGGTGGCGATTCTTCTCTCACGTGTGCGCCTCTCCTCCCGATGTTCCACGTACGCTGTGTAACTCTCCAATCTCTCCTCCCTTCCTTCTTCTTCTTCTTCTTCTTTCTCCTCTTTCTCTCGGCCTGGCACGAGAAGAGACGACCGCAAGGTGGAGGAGGGCGCACAAATCATATGGAATTTTCCTTTCGACGCGGAGGAATCTCCCCGGGGCTCGTTTTCAACTCGTCATTCCCAAACAAACGATCGCCTCGCTTTCGCCGATATTTTTGGCAGCGCGACGCTTTTTCGCGCGCGACACCCTATTCCTTTCGCCCACAATGGCTTTTCAATGGGTTTAGTCATCTTTCTAAATTTTGAGTTAATAACTTATTTTTCTTCTTCCTCCTCGTCTTAATTGTTGCTTAACGATTTCATATAACGATTTATAACGTTTTCCATGTATATCGTTAAGCGTTCGATGGAGAGGAATGCACGTTTCTAAGAGCGTGGAAAATAATATGAGGAGGGGAGGGGTTCTTAAAAAATTCAAAGAGCCATTAAGACTGGAGGGCGATTCACTATCAGAGAAACTTTCTAAAATTCTGATATAATGCGGCCTTTGTCCCAACGTAAATGCCTGTCCAAACGATTCTCGACCTCTTTTTCGAGATACCATAACTCGAAGGTAACTAATGACGCTTCAGAATCTTATCTGGGTTCCTTGTGGTTCGAGTGGCCCACCTTAATGACCATTGCCACGTATATTTCCAATATTTCGACAATACTTGTTTATCCTTACTTTGCGATGTGTTGTTATTCCCCGAACAATTTGCCAAAAGAGATCTAATGAAAAAGTTAGATTAGTAAGGATTAACATTTTAATTCTCTTTTCGGCGACAAATTATCTTTATTAAATTTCGAAATCTACGATCCGAATTTTACTAACAAACTTATCCTTCCCCCTAAACATTTCCCAAATTGGCATCCTAATACAAATGAGAATGCGTACCTTTCAATTTTAATACAAAGTATTAAATTGATGAGATGGAATGCTGCCAACCCGTAAGTTTAAGGATGTTGTATAAGGCTTTGAATGTAAACATCCATAATTTTCATAATATATATCCCGATCTCGCTCAACAAAATTATAAAATTGGAAGAGAGATCGATGATAAATGTGCCAACTCGAAAATAACCAGACAGGAATGGACAAATCTTAATTATATATCTATCTATGAGATGAAAGACACATTAGACACGATGCATAAAATGTATAAGGATGAAACAGATGTAAACGGAGGCATCGGCGATAACCAGCCTCTAATTATAATATTGCAAGGCCAACACGTTGATTCTCGCATCTTCGAGGGAAACGGGAGAGGAAAACCACGTCGGTTTCGATAATCGCCAATGTGACGCCAAAAGGAACAAGTGTGCATCGTCACGTGGACGAGGAGATTGGACGATCGAGAATAACGTGGCGATCGAGTTTGTGGGCGGAAATCTTGCCGGTTCACATGTTCCTCTTCTTACATCCATTATCCACAACTTTGTACCGTTCATATTAACCGTTCAACTGCTTGTCCAATTCTAATTACTTAGAAGAGATCCTTCCTTTCAAGGAATCTAGGCGTCTTTCGTCCACTGCTAACAATTTTACAGTTAACAAGGATGGGTCATCGTACCATTACAGGATTAAATCAAGTCAGTCAAGGCTCTTATGCCCAATGGAAAACGTGTACGAAATATTACGAAGTATTTAAATGAATTTATATATACGACGTACGATTAAAGAATAACGTTCGTTTCGCCTCTTACGTATTCGAGAAACGAGCGAGTCGAAGTGAGATAACAGTGAGCAATTCCTTCGTTGTAATAGCCGCATAACGGATCCGGACTGATGCATGCCTTAAGAATACTGTACTTCTAATCGTGCAATCCACATAACTGAGGCTGACGTCACCGCTGGCGATTTCGGAGCAACAACACATCGATTGGATAACTTTGCAGTTGCAATGATGCAACGGCACACGTGCAATTTCGCTATTGGAAAGATTAAAGCCCGCGCGCAGACGTAACATCACGCGACACCGTGGCGATTCTATCATAACAGGAGTAAGATGCAAATCTTATCGCGATTCGTTCGTTGCTGGCGTTCGATTCTCTGGATTTATCGTATCCAATGACACACGGCCCATCCAGTGGAAATGTTCCATCCGACGATTTATCGTGGAGATATGGAATAGAGAAGCGTGATGATAGCGGAATTAACGATGATTTGAAATTTAAATAGGAAAGAAGAGTTTACACTAATTTTGTGATTTTCGAGAAAATAATATATTGAAATTACGAGAATAGTTTTAATTAATGTCAATGAAGATTTTAAAGCGCTATTGTATTTTTAACAATAGCATAATATGTAATAATCGAAATTTATTAACAAATAATAATAAACAATTAGTTGTACCAGGGACGAATTTAAAAAAAAAAAAAGAAGCCTAAAAAGATTTGGAATCGAATTGCAATGCGAAATTTGCATATATGATTGTGTTAAAAATAGATCGTGACTTATATAGTCATCGAAGCTTGTTTATCACTCGATAAACGCAATTTCGTAATTCATCTTTAAAATAACAATCTCTTAATACTTATCCAATTTTGTCCTAATTTAGAGAGAGATTAAAATTTCACAAGTTTCCAAAAACTTACAGATCACATCTGCACGGTTCAAATTTTAAAAAAAACAAAATAAAATATATCTCGTCACATTCCAACCATCTTTCCCGATATACGTGAACATTTCAACTAATGCGCAAATACAAATGAAATTATTAAAAATACCGTATCGAATCACACGTGATAATAAACGAAATCGTCTATAACGAAATTTTCAAGATTTAAGAATTCCTGTCGCGAACACATTCAAAGAGATGTAAGAAAACTTTTCGCAACAACGATAAATCGCAACTCGATGTAGCAACTCGAAGGTGGATTAACGAAATGACGGCTGGATTACGCGCGAATCCCGGCGTTTCCCACGGACACGTATAATGGAACGATTCGCGTCGAGAACGATAAAATTAACGCCGAGTTACGAAACGGATGGAGCATCGAACCGGCCGACCTTATCTGTCGGTGACGTTGCTTGAAAAACGAGCGAATTAAATAGGGCTTGCTATCTGGACACTGCTGAATCGGCTCGTGAAACGGAGTCACGAATCACTCTAGTTTCTCGAGTTTTTAGAGTAGAGTTCTATCCCTAGACGATTCGTTTTCACAGTAAAGTGAAATTGAAATTTCCTTAAATTTAAAAATTCTTACTTTGAAAATTCGAAAAGGAAAAGTAAAATAGAAGGAATATGAACCAGGCACGATGCAATCTCGAGTTGGATTTTTTTCAAAATTTTAATCTATTAAATGTATCATCGGCGAAATTCAGTTGTGTTTTATTAAAAATTATAAATTTTCGAGTTATGTGAATTTCCTTGTAAGATAGCTCTGTACACAATGGCTTTTGTGATTGACTGTATGATAATCGAGAGGCAAACAAAGGAACAATCATTCTATCTCCGATCCGACTTCGAAGTAATTAAACATTTATCTCACCCTAAATTCATATCGAATTGAGCATCAGCATAAATGCTCGAAACTTATGGACAATCACGTACGTGATCAAACTGAATAGAATAATCCCCCATTGTGCTACAGTTTAGAGAACTCGGACAAACGTTTGTCATGCATTATGCATTCAAACTAAACAACATATATATAGACGGAGCTGAAATCGTAATTAAACCATTGTGGAAAAAATCTTGCTAATTAAGAAAGCACACGCCAGATCTATATATTATAATTTCAAGCAAATTGAATAAATTAAGAGTAAATTCAAACTTTCTACGACTTTACCTCACAATCTAATCAATTCAATCAAAAAAAAATAGTCTCTTTTTATCAAATTCAAGAACAGATCTAAATCCTCGTTTAGGACAAAACCAATCCTAAAATCATCATCTTAAATTCCAATAACAGATAGACATATCCAATCACCATCATCCGAGTTAATAATTCACGTTTATCGAATCGAATCGTTACTTTCTTCCTTTCCAACGTAATAACTTCCAAGTGTGCATGATTATGCGTAATTCATGCAATATCTGTCCGCTTTCGCAACCGAGGAATTCATATATATGAACACATATACATATTATTTCCCATCCCGATGATAAAAGCAGTCGTGATAAACGCGAAACACTTCTCCTCTCTCTCTCTCTCTCTCTCTCTCTCTGCCTTTTTAATCGCTCGTTAATTTCGCTCGTCAGCGAATATCGAGTTACGATTAGAATAACACCGATCCAAAATGTTTCTAAGAACCAGGGTAGAGGCTCACGTGCAGCATACTTGTTTGCCTAGTTTTCGCGCAACCCTTCTTCTAGAACGGCTGGAAGAAAGAAATGAGCCATCAACACGTTTCGATATCCCGCTTTGTTGTGCGCGCGTAATTGATTCCTCGAAATATTCGTCAGAATTCGTCAGTTGGAGGGAAATACGCACCACGTGGCTTGGAATACGGATCTCTTGGAATATCGTCCCTGCATTATTCATCCCTGTTTACGAGGAAGAGAACTCGGCGATGGGGGGAAAAAAAGCGAAGGAGAAGCTTTAAAAAGAATGATCGACGAAACGTTTACAGCCTCGAAAAAACGCGAACGTAACGCGCTTTCCCGAGATGTTGGAAGAGGGGGGCGAATTCGTGCGGGAGAATTGCGTCATTAGAAACAGATGTCGGGCAGGGATTCGAAAAAGGGGGCCGCGAAGAAGCTCGTAAAGTTGGCCCATCGTGGACAGGAATGGAATTTAAGTGGCGTTTGAGTCACGAGACGGGAGGGAAGATCAAAAAATTCGACCTAATTTTGCATTGGACGAGTCAGTGAGATCGTTTGATGTCGGATGTTAGTTGGGTGTGTGAGTTGTGGCGGATAAATCAAACGGTGGTGTGGAGTCCGACAAATATTTAACTTTCTCCTTCTGTCGATCTATATCGCTCTCTGTCCGACCATCTTCTTCTGTCCCAGAAACAAGTAGGGAGAAGAGACGATGGACTTGATAGAAAAGTGGATATTGGAGGGGATAACGCTACGAGGAATGCGTAAACACGATGATATCGCGTTAATTGATCGAGTTTTTTTTTCTTTTCTTCTTGATTTCGAACGATTGTCTTCCGTTTCACAAAATGATACAGCGTTTCGCTGTCAAATTTTTGAGACATGAAGAAAGATCTGCGTTGCTTCAAAAATTGAGGAGAGAACTCGGGGGTGATAAGTGGAATGCGTCACTTTATTGGCTATTTCTGCAAATTAATCAAACTTGGTATGTACCGAGAAATCGAACGATCGAGATAAACTTGATCAACGTGCAGAAAGGAATTCAAAATACGAGGGTCACGATAGAATAATCGCAAAAATGAAGCCTCAAGGCGACTCTGTCCGTCGTGGTTACGTCTATTTACGTTGATGGAAGCGAGCACATAGACGCGAAAGAAATAAAGATAACCGAACGAGCGACAAACAACGGCCAGAAAGGCCGGGGTAATACACTCGAGAAGTCGATTATATGAAACCTTGTACCATATTATTCCGTGTATATCACTCCCACGCGTGAGTGGCGCGCGCGCGCGTTCAACCAGCAAAGCCATTCCTCAAGCTGAATCTTAACAACACCCATGCGTGTTTAAAAGATGCCCGATAAAACCGACAATGAGTCTCTCCCTCTCTTCCTTTCTCACAACAAACGAAGCGAGATGCTGCTTTTTATAACTTTTCTTTATATCGAGGATGTAAGAATTTTCAAAGATTAGGTAGATAGAATTCGAGAATCCGTGGATGACGACCCCGGCCCGGGGTCTACACACCTTTCGCCAAGGCGTTCCTCAAATTCTTTCGTGTTATCGTTATTCTTTTCGTTCGTTCGACAGAAAGACTCGAGTAACTTGACTTCGAAAGTTTCGTTCATTCGTGTAATCTAAGATTAAAAGATTCGCTCTCAAATTTATAACGAACGTTCTGATCTTGAAAGAAAAAAAAATGTCGAAATGTCGTTCAACGCGATTCACAGATCTTTCCCTGGGAATTGAACGTTCGTTGACCCACGGAATCGGGAAGACGAGAAAATTACTTTATCGTGGGCATAATAGGTGATACGTCGATTATAAGTGCGTCGCGTAAATGGGAAATTAGGGTAGAGCGTTAAGAGAGCCTGCACGTTTTACGATCCGTACGTGACTAAATAGACGTGGAACGGGCCGTTCCAAAGGAACGGAAGGGGACAATAGAATAATATCGTAACGCGCCACCCACGGTCAACGTTAATCACAATCGTTTACAGAGATACGGCTTAATTAACATCGGCGATTAACGCTGCATCGTGGTCATTCTGTATACAACATGCATGTATGCTTGTTTTCGAGTTTCTCACGATTCTCTCTTGTGCATCCTCGTTGCCTGTGCTCTATTGTCTGTGAGGCGGATGTTGAAGTGATGCGGATTAAATGAAACGATGCAACCGAGCTGTGTTTCTATCCAATTTAAATTTACTCGTGTGCGATCTATTAGAAGACTCGACAATTGAATTTTTGAACTCAAATTATTTAGACGTCTTATTTTACATTTTGTATAAACTCAAAAAAAGGAATGTCTTAATCTGTTATCATTGCGTAATTTTTCTAAATCGGTAAAACCTAATCTAGAAGAAACGTACGAGTCAAAGCTGAAAACAATAAGCCGAAAACACACGAATCTTAACGATTGCGATGCAATCTTCAAAACAGAAAGAGCAATTATCAGAGATCAAACATTTCTCGCGTCGATAAAATTGGAGCAAGAAAATCCAAAGAATCATAACATGTCCATTCCCAGACAGGAAAACAATTCTGCAAAGACACGAGGGTAAATGTTAAAATTGGACTTGGGCAAGTGTGTTGAGGAATTGGTCAGATTTCACGTCCTTTTAAAACGCCTATCTTTACACTAGCCAAGCACAAGGCGTGCTCTGTCAGCTCAAAGCCACTTATTTGCCTGGCCTAAAACAACATCTTCCAGCATACCGCTCGAGAATGTCACTGGCCTTATCGCGCGTGTGAGAAGCGGCGAGAATTGGCAAACACACACGCTATACGTATAGAACAGAACCGGCTGTTCCGTGTTTCGAAAAGGGGAAAAAAAAAAAAAGAAAGAAAGAAAGAAAGAAAAAAAAAGAAAAAGAAAAAGGAAAAGGAAAAGGAACGTGGTCGGTCGTTCTCTCTTTCAAAATCGTGAAAACAGGTTCTCGTTTCCGATATTCGATGACGCAACTTGGTTAGTTCGATACACAACCTTCGAAGGGAATTTAAACGACGCCATTTATTCGACTTTCTTCCGCTTGATAAATGAAATAACAATGTTGGCAACTCGAAAAAACAAAGGCTCGTGATTAAAATCGAGCAAAACCGCTTATCTTGTTTTCGATAGGACTCGAAGGACAAGCGTCGAGTTCTCATATGGAGATTTTGACTCGCCTTCTCTCGTAAAGAAAAACGTAATTTCTAAATGAATTTAAATTACGTTTCTCGTATACCATTTATGAAAAAAATGTTATTATCCAATTTGAAAGAAAAATAATTACCTGTTTCTTTATTGATTATTTTAAAAAAAAAACTCAAATTGGAATTTCAAATTACTCGAAAATGATTTAAATATCATTGTCAGAAAAATATTAGAAGATATTCTCAACCATTCAATTTAGATAAAAGAAGAACTCAAATTCTTCCAACCTAGACCAAAAAGAACGAATGAACACGTACCAGGTTCCGAGTAATCGAATAACAAAAAGCAAGCCAAGAGTATATAATATATAAATATAATGGATTCGATTTAAAAAATTGGTTCGAGTCACGCGAGTGCATCGTTCGGCCGATGTATCGATACGATATCGTCGTATCGAGGCGAAACGAGTAGTCAAGGTTGCGTATCGTGTAAAATCCGATAATACAGTTTTACACACGATCAAAAATGATTCGAGAAGAACGACGTGGACAGCGAGAGAAGACGGATGAAAACAAACTCGGTTGGAAAATATAAGAAATACGAGGCTGAAGGGAGAAAGAAAGAAGGAAGAAAAAAAGAGGGGGAGAAAAGAAAGGTCTGGGGAACAAAGGAGCTTTTGCGAGTTCGATGCTCCTTTCTTATCAGGGAAGGAGACTGTTGCGGCTAAGCCAAATCGTGGTTTGATTGGTCTGCTTGGCCTCGACGTCATTCCA